TCAACTGCAGCAACATATGTGACCTTTCATTGACCTACTTTTTAGCTCGATCACCTCGATGAAGGTGAGATGAACTTTTGCTATACCATAGGCGTTTGTATTGCTGATTGGTCAAAGTTTTAGGAGCAGATCCATTCCCAAGTAAATACAAGTCCTACCTCAACCAAACTTGCATGGATATTCTAATCATTAGCTTGACTACAAATATGCAATTAACTATTTGCAATATGAAATTTTGGCTGCCTGTGGATGCATTCGTGGTGGTATGATGCATCTAGTTTAACCTTGACTTTTCCTCTGACCTTATCTTACTTTACTGTATGCATTTATCTCAATTTGAAAGAAAATATTTTTATTAAATTTCATAATGCAGATACAAGTGTATCAGAAACTTTTGACCGTGAACTTTTCTGTGACCTCCACCTCAGTATTCTTAAATTTGCATTTTGCCCAGTTTTACACAAATATACTTGAATATTTTTAAGAAAGTATATGCTGTGATATATAATTTAGTGAGAATTAATCAATTATTTTCTTTTTAACCTGACTTTTCAGTGACCTTTGACTAATTGTTTATTGTCAGTAAAACTTTGATTTAAACAAATTCCAAAATATTGTCAATTTCTTTTATTAACTAAAAATCTTTATATTGCATTACTCCTGAATCTTGGGTGGGGTTTTCATGTCCTTTGGACATGTTTCTAATTATTTTTGTCTGAAATGCTTTATTAACACAGAAATTTGTGTTCTTTAAACTGTAACTCCTGAAGGACTGATTTATTAAAAGAAGACTTTATTAGGATACTTATAATTATATGTTAATTGATTTTTGTCCCATGTGTTACATAACAAGTTACATATAGATTGGTGTGAAGTTCTTAAAAAATTGTTAACCCATTTTAGCTCATCTGAGCCAAAGAATGCTATGGCCATTTGTGCGGTGTGTGTTAACGTTTTAGATTATGGGCCAGGATTAGTCATACTGGGCAATCATTGTCAAATTTGTCATATGACACGTGTGATAACTAAAAAATCTTCTCAAGAACCAACAGGCAGAAATTTTAAGGCTATATTTGAATAAATATCTCAGGTACTTAGTGGCTTAGAATCATTAAACTTTGTCAGTATATGCATGTTGGGTTTTTGTAGAATGTTCAACAAAGAATTAGGTCACAGTGACCTACTTTTTGAAATTAAATTATTTCAGGTTTTCATTGGCTTATAATCTACAGTTTTTAGTTCACCTGAGCCGAAGGCTCAAGTAAGCTCTTCTGATCACATTTTGTCCGTAGTCTGTCCGTCTGTAAACACTTAACTTATTTAGCTTCTTCTCAAGAGCCAGTGGGCCAATTTTAACCAAACTTGGTACAAAGCATCTTTTGGTGATGTGGAGTTTAAATTTTAAAATAAATTGCCAATTCCCCTTCTAAGGGGAGATAATCAAGAAAAGACAAAAATAGGGTGGGGTCATTCAAAAATCTTCATTCAAGAACCAGTGGGCCAGGAAAGCTGAAACTTATGTGGAAGCATCCTGGGGTAGTGTAGATTCTAAATTTTAAAAATCATGACCCCCTGGGGTAGGGCGGGGCCACAATATGAAATCCAAGTTTTATATAGAAATATATAGGAAAAATCTTTAAAAATCTTCTTCTCAAGAACCATTGGGCCAGAAAAACTGAAACATGTGAAAGCATCCTGGGTTAGTGTAGATTCTAAAATGTAAAAATCATGACCCTCAGTGGTAGGGCAGGGCCACAATAGGGAATCCCAAGTTTTACGTACAAATATATAGGAAAATTATTTAAAAATCTTTTTCTCATGAACCAGTACAAGGCCGTAAAAGCTGAAAGTTACGTGAAAGCATCCTGGGGTAGTGTCAATTCTAAATTGTTCAAATCATGATCCTCGAGTGTTGGATGGGGCCACAATAGGGAATCAAAGTTTAATATAGAAATATGTTTGATGTTTGAAAAATCTTCTCAAGAACCACTGGGCCAGAAAATCTGAAACTTGCGTGAAAGCATTCTGGGGTAGTGTAGATTCAAAAATGTTCAAACCATGACCCCCGGGGTCATAATAGGGAATCAAAGTTTTGCATCGAAATATATAGGAAACAATCTTTAAAAATCTTCTTCTCAAGAAATACTGGGCCAGGAAAGCTGAAACTTTATGTGAAAGCATCCTGGAGTAATGTAGATTCTAAAACCATGACCCTAGGGGGTTGGGCAAGGCCACAATAGGGAATAAATTTTTTACATTATTGAAAATACCTTTAAAAATCTTCTTCTCAAGAACCCCTGATGCATAAAAGCTCAAATTTATGTGGAAGCATCCTGGGGTAGTGTAGATTCTAAATTATTAAAGTAAAGGAGGGGGGGGGGTCATAATACATATAAGAAGAGGCAAAATGTGATAAAAGAATTGCATCACCAAAGCTACTCAGGTGAGCGATGTAGTCCATTGTCTCTTCTTGTATGTATATTGAGAAGGGGGGGGGGGCAGGGGGTAAGGTGGGGCCACAATAGGGAATCCAAGTTTTACATTCAAGTATATGCCTGGGAAAAAAAGTTTAAAAATCTTCTCAAGAACCACAGAGCCAGAAAAGTTGAAACTTATGTGGAAGCATCCTGGGGTAGTGTAGATTCTTATGTGTACAAATCATGACTTCCAGTGGTAGGGCATGGCCAGTCCAGGCCCAATAGATAATCCAAATTTTACACAGATACAGACAGGGAAAAAACTAAATTCTTTTTTCACAAGAATACCGTAAAAGTAGAAATTTTAGTGAGGATTTAATTTTGGCATTATTAGCGAGGCTGTTGAGATCGCTAAAATTGAATATCGCTAAGAATAAATTGTGTGTTATTTGTACTAGGTTCTTAAGTGAGCAATTTAAAATTGCTGAAATTACTTCTCTGAAAATAAAATACCAGTTTTTAAGGAGAAATTGGTAAATTTGCGTCTTGCTGAAAGAATGAGTGCACTTAAGCTATGAGAGTTGGATCCCGATGTTTTGCATAAAATAAAATTCCAAAATTCATTAAATTTATGTTTTATAGGTATAAACAATGTCTTTAGAGCAGGTTTTGGTATATTATATTACATGAAAGTATTAAATAATGCCGAACGACAATAGCTTTTGAGACGGGGGTCTAACAGTTTTGTCTCATTTCTATTGTTATTCATATGCATACCAGTTTTCAACGACTTTGTTTATATCGAGCCGCAACTTGGCCATTTTTCTTATTTGCACAGAATATGTATTTTAACTTAAACTTATACATATCCAAAGGACAATGTTGGCCAAGTTGCGGCTCATATCTAATTTTCAAAAAAATGTCCCCAAACTAGGGTTGAGATAGCTACTAAATTAACCGGTCACTGAGCAACAACGATTGATATTATAATCACATTTCTCACGTGACCTTCTGCTGTTCGATACGTTAACGCTTTCATTGAAAAATTCTTTGCGTTTAAGTCACTGTTGTGACAGTATCTATCGTACTTCCAACTTCAAACTTTGGGAGATTTTTGCGCAAATTTTAATAGGGTTTGAAGATAATATGTCTCTTATTTATCTTTATGCTTTTCATTAGGGGTGTTTTGAAAGAATTCTGGTATTGACAGTGTCATTAGTAAGTACATGTAGAGGCTTATGTCGCCTCTGAATGTATTACGGTCTGCACAGCGAGACATTTACCCCATCCCTTAACATTAGAATCATTTAATAATTGTGCACCATGAAATCAACACGATCTCTCTCTCTTCTCCATTTCAATTCGCAATGCGAAAAAATCATATGTGCTAATGTTTACATTCCACAACCATGCGGTTTAAATGTCTCTGCCTATTTGCAGATACCTTAGATTATAAAGTGGTCCCCTTCAAATTTCCGGAATTTAAGGCTTTTACATGTTCTTTTCAATTACATTTTCTGTAATTATAGAAATATGTATGACAAAAAATTCTAGAAATAAATATCAAGAGCATATGCTTGCACATTAATCATAGATTAATTTTGCGATATATTGTAATGTTAAGCTTAAAATGGGTAGCCGAAAAGGTTCCAAATGACGTACTTAAGTGCACTCATTCTTTCCAATTGTACAGTATTTAGACTAATGAAGCTGAAACTTATATGAAAGCATCCTGGGGTAGTGTAGATTCTAACTTGTTAAAATCATGAGCCCTGGGAGTAGGGCTGGTTGCATTAGGGAATATACAAATTTTACATAAAAGCATATGGGAAAAAAACTTTAAAAATTTTCTTTTCAAGAACAAGTGGATGAATAGGGCTGAAACTTATGTTGAAGCATCCTGGGGTAGTGTTAATTCTAAATTTTTGGAATCATGACCAATTAGGATTGTGAAGGTCAAGGTAGATATTACAAAACGGGAAATCTATTCAGGGTTCGACACTAACATTTTTAGGCTTTGGTCCGGCCGGACTAGTGCTTCTTTACTTTTACTAGTCCGCTTGTCAATTTTATTAGTCCGTCAAAAATAAAAATAATTAAATAGAATTAATGTTGCAATGTACTTTTATAATTTTTCCAAATAAACAAAGCATTTACATGAAATGTTTATACCAAGAATTTGTTGAAACCCTGCAATCAGGAACTACGATCGTATTCCCGACCTCATTCGTTTTTCTCTATACATGATTACATCATCTAAACATCCGACATCTTTCTTTATGTGTCATACTAAATCATGATCGCTAAAATGTTTAATTCCATTCCAACGAGTCCTTAAATTAAGCGCCGAATTGACTCAGAATTACCAAACTTCCCGCCAAGAAGCTGCAAAGTTAAAAATAATTACGGGGTTTTCCAGTGAAAGTTGTCGAAAATTTGAACATCGGTAAATTCTTTTTTTCCCCCAGAAAACTTTATTAGTCCGTTCGGACTAATTAGCTGCAATTTTTATTAGTCCGAATGAAAATGTGTTAGTCTGAGACTAACGGACTAACGTTAATGTCGAACCCTGCTATTAGATGAATGGCTAAAGTTGTTCAGGTGAGTGATGTGGCCCATGGGCCTCTTGATTACAAAAAGTGGCACTGTAGCTCTCAGGCCTGTCTATGTTTTTTTTTTCTGGAGAGCTACAGTTCTGCAGATAATGATGTATGTATACATTATATATGGCACAAAAAGTCTGAACATTAATGAAAGATTTTCAAGGACCAATCTTCTTTTGGGGGATGCCCCCTAAGTTTAGTTTTTAGGTTGATGGCTTTTTCTTTGAGCTAAATTGATGGTAGATGTCTGTCTTTTATGATTGCGAGTTTTTGAAATGAAATAAAGCTATATGAAACAATTGATACTTGTTTTGTTTTGAATGAAAGTGACATTGATATGGTGTTTATGTGAGCTTAAGTGAGCTTTTTTGATCACATTTTGTCCTGCATCTGTCTGTAGACATTTCAGATTTTTGACTTTTTATCGAAAACCACTCCTACAAAGCATCCTTGACAAGGTCCATGTGTTCAAGTTTGTTCAAATGAAGGGCCTCACCCTATTCAAGGGGAGATAATTCTGAAATAGTGAAATGGTGGCATGTTTTAAAACATTTTATCAAGAACCACTGTGCAAGGAAAAATGAAATCATGGAATCATCCTCAGGTAGTGTACATTCTAGCTTGTTCAAATCATGGCCCCTGGTGATAGGGTGGGGTTACAATGGCCGATCAAAGTTTTCACATAGGAATATATAGGAAAAATCTTTTAATAAAAATCTTCTTCTCAAGAGCCATTGGGACAGGAAAGATGAAACTCATGTTGAATCATCCTCAGATAATGTACATGCAAGTGTGTTCAAATCATGGCTCCTGGGGGTAGGGTGGAGCCACAATGGCCGATAAAGTTTTACATAGGAATGTATAGGGAAATCTTAAAAAAAATACTTCTCAGGTACTGCAAAGCCATGATTAATGATATTTTTATGGAAGCATCCTCAGATCATGCAGATACTGTAGATTCTAGTTTATTCAATTTAAAACCCCCAGGGATAGGGTGGGGCAACAATGGGGGATCCAAGTTTTACATTTAAATATATTTAAAAATCTTTTTCTAAAGAATACCAAAGCCATAATTAGTGATAATTATATGGAAGCATCCTCATGTAGTGTACAATTAAATTTGTACAAATGGTAACATCCAAGGGTAGGGAAGGGTCTCAATGGTGGATCAAAGTTTTACATAGGGAAAAAAGGGAAAAATCTTAGTAACAGAAAAGCTATGTTGAGTCGTATTGACATGTAAGCATTCTCATGTATTGAAGATTTTTTTTTTTAATCAAGAGTACCCATTGGGGTAGGGAGGGAAATGATGGGGAGTCAAATTCAAATTATTACAAAGTAATATACAAACAAAATGTTTAAAAAAATCTATAAAAATATTTTTTCTCAAGCAGTTTTTTGCAGAATTGATATAGAGGCATTCTCAAGTAGTATTAGAATTCAACCGCCTCCCCCCCTTCATAAACTTTTCAGTTCTGATCTGATCATTTGTGCATACTCCTAGCCGATATGCTCAGGTGAGCGATGTGGCCACTGGGCCTCTTGTTGAATTTTGTAGGCTTTTGTTTTCAGATTATTTAAAATTTTGAATACTTTCAGACCTATGATCATCAGACTGCCAGTTGATGCATCTTGGGTATGCAGAAAACGCTGATGAAAAAGTAGGTCACTGTGACCTACTTTTGACATTTTATGGGTATATTCGAGTATCTTAGGTGTTTATTGGCTTAGAATCATCAAACTTTGTCAGTTGATGCATCTTGGGTTTTCAGAGAAAGTCTACCAAAAAGTAAATCACGAGGACCAACTTGTGACATTTTATGGCTATAAATAGGTATCTTGGGCTCTTTTTGGCTTAGTATCATTAAACTTTGTAGATGCATCTTTGGTTTTCGGAGAATGTTGATCAAAATGTAGCTCATGGTGACCTAATTTTGAAAATCTCAGGTAATTATAGGTTTAATATTGTCAAACTTTTTCAGTTGATGCATCTTGAGTTATCAGAGAAATTGTCAACCAAAAAGTAAATCACAGTGACCTACTTATGGAATTTTATAGCTATATTGAAATATTCTTCAGTCCCAACTGGCTAAGAATCATCAAACTTTGTCAGTCGATGCCTTTTGGGTCTTATGATACTTAGAGTTAGAAGCTTCAAATAGAAATGATAGATTGTACAATTTATCAGAAGAGTGATACAAGGCCTTCAGTCCTGTTGTTTGCTATTTATTTTGTGGATTAATATTTGATTAACAAAAAATATGTGAATTCTCTAATTTAATAAACGTTGTTTGGAAAGGTACTAATAGGGATGCTCTTTCAGTTTTAGGAACATATTACAGTTACTGTTTCATCATGTTCATTTTGGGTGGAAAATGTTCTGTTTTATTTTTGTAGATGCCAAGGAAAAAGACCTTGTGTGGTAGGGAGAATCGTGATAAAGCTAAGTTACGTATGAGGGAAAAGAGGCAGCAACGGTCCCTTCCCTTGTCAGATGTCCTACCAGATGACACCAAAGCAGTATCTGATGTCCCTTGCAGGACAGAAGATGGGGTTGTTACAGCTCCACCCGGTAATCTTCCGGGGCAAGGCTTTATAGGGTTGCCGCCTTTTGAGGGAAAACCCTTGGCCAGGATGCAGGCCTCTCTTCGTGAGAAAATGCATCCAACTGCCCTGAGTAATGCATCTTCTCAGGGAAGTCGTCTGTGTGCCCGAAACGGAGGCATGGCACCGTCCCCTGACTCCCCACCGTGGGTTTGTACCTCGCCGAGGGTACCTGAGCCGGACACCGTGCACGTGTCTGGCTCAGCAGGTCAGGCGCAGCTGGATATGTCATCTTCCAAGGGGGATGAGTCCAGCAGGAGATTGATTGATGCAAACCAGAGTAAAAGAACGAGATCTAAAAGGAATACTAAAAGGAATTTACATGATGAAAATGAGAATTTAGAAAATGAGAATTTGTACAATTTGTATGAGAACAGTAAATCAGAATGTAGAATTCAAAGACATTGTAATGGTGGACCAGTTGATGCTGATGCTTGTATTGGTGATAGCGGACCAGTAACAACAATCAAGGTATCTGTTCAAGGTTCTTTTCATCAGGGTAACTTGATGTTTGGCGAAAATGCAGGAACACAATGTGTCGCAAACTCCTTAGCAGCATTAGCATATCATAAAATAAAAAACTCAAAACAATGGCAAACTTCAGATATGAATAAAGTGTTGGAAACAGGCGATGAGCTTTACACATACTTGCAGCGTAGTTCAACCATTGTTAGTCGATATCTTTTAGTTGATGAGTTGCCGCAATTTTTTGAGTGTTTTGATACAATGTTCGAGTTCAAAGCACATGAACCTTTATGCAGTCTGATAAATTTGTCTGATGCAGAGCCCAATTATGATGAATTTAATGCACATTCATTGTTAGATGCACTGCAGATTGCTCTTGGAGAATCAAGTGGGTGTTTTGTGTGTTTCAGGGGAAATACATTTCTGGTTGGAAAAACAGAAGATGGTTATTTTACATTTGATTCACATTCAAGAACATCATCAGGGTGTATGAGTTCAAATGGAAAGAGTACAAGGATACTATATCAATCAGTTTACAACATTTGCAATCACATTTTGTCATTAGCATTATCAATGGGATTTTCTGGAATTACTCAATGTGAAATAACAAGGGTGGATTGTTCAGTTAGGCACTTTGCATCTACTGATAAAACTGAGCACTTAGAAATCGCTCAGAAAAATGAAGACCCAAATATGGCATTCCAAGAAAACGCAAACATTTCTATTGTACATACTGAGTCAGTTGAGGATGATGATGTTGAATTTGTTTACTACAGTGAAAGTCAAAATATTACATTTTTTCCAATATCTCAAAGTATAAAAGAACAGCTTTGTCAGATTATGGGAATACCACATTCAAATAGAATTGATAATGATGTACAAAATTGTCATGTTCGAGAGGTGGGTGCACCTATTGAGTGTGTTGAAATTCAAAGGGATGGTAATTGTTTCTTCAGAGCTATTTCATTTTGTTTGACTGGATTGGAGGATTATCACTATGCAATTCGATCAATAGTGTGTCGACACCTTCTCCGCAATAGTATATTGTTCAAACCTTTTGTTAGACAGGCAGAAAGTTCTGTAGAAAATCATTTTTCTCTAACAAACATGTCAAATGATGGTTCGTGGGCAACTGAACTAGAAATACTTGCTGTTTGTCATCTATTGAGCATTGATATACACACATATACAGAAAATCATTGGATTACATACTCAAGACAATTGATGGAACCTACTACGAATATTCAGTCTATAGGGTCAATTTATCTAGATCATGAGAATCTGAATCATTATAATGTAGTGCTGACAGTTGCTGAGAATGAAAAAATTGGTCCCATAAAAACACATACTGGTAAAGAGGAATACAGGAAAAGATGCAGAAATCGAAACCGCATGAGGAATGTACGTGTCATTTCATCAACAAACAAATTAGGCAAAGATCATGAATTCAAACTGAAGAATGTAAATTGTAAGGAAAAGAGATTAAGATCAAAAAATCTTAAGTACAAGAATGACTTGGAATTTAGATTAAAGGCAATCGCAGATGGAAAATATAGATATAGATGTAATGAAATTTACCAAGCAAAAGCAAAAGAAAGGAGTGTGGAAAAATACTCTTTGGATGCAGAACACAAGTCGACACTGAAGGAGGCAAGCAAAAGAAAGTATAAAACTGATGAAGATCATAAACAATATATGAAGAAAAGAAGCATTGAGAAATATAGTTCAGATGTAGTGCATAGAGAGAGTGTAAAAGAAAGAAGTACAGAAAAATACAAGTGTGATGAAGTACACAGAATGAATGCTAAACAAAGAAGTACAGAGAAGTACAAGAATGATGAAGTTCACCAAATGGATGTTAGACAAAGAAGTACAGAGAAGTACAAGAATGATGAAGTACACCGAATGGATGTTAGGCTAAGAAGTACAGAGAAGTACAAGAAGGATGAAGTACACCGAATGGATGTTAGGCACAGAAGTACAGAGAAGTACAAGAATGATGAAGTACACCGAATGGATGTTAGGCACAGAAGTACAGAGAAGTACAAGAATGATGAAGTATATAAACAGAAGGTAAAGACAGATAATAAAATAAAATATCATTTTAGTGCTGATGAGAAAAAGAAGAAAAAAGAGACAGTTTTTAATCAGAGAAGAGCACTGAAAGAAAAGCTTGAAGATGAAGAAGAAGTTTTGGCATTTTTCAGAGAAAGTGTAAGAAATGGTCCAGAATACACATGTTGCTGTTGTCATCGTTTATTGTTTCAACACCAAGTTCAAGGATGTACTCTTGAAATGTACAAAGAAAGAAATCAAGCACGTGAAATAGCAAAGGAATGTATACAAAAGCAATATTGTCATGAGTGTACATTGTCTTGTCCAATGCATTGTGCACAGTCATCATTGTGGATATGTTTTACTTGTCATAGGAAAATATTAAGTGGTAATATTCCAGCAGAAGCAGCTGTTAATAAAATGTCACTGGAGGAAATTCCTAATGATTTAGGTAATTTAAACAGTTTGGAGCAGCATTTAATTGCTTTGCATATCCCTTTTATGAAAGTTATGGCTCTTCCAAAAGGTGGTCAAAGAAATGTACATGGGCCCGTTGTTTGTGTGCCATCAAATATAAAAAAGGCAACAAGTTTACCAAGAAGTCACGATGACAATCTCTTGTTAAGAGTTAAACTGAAACGCAAACTAGCTTACAAGGAATATTATGAATACCAATTTGTCAATCCAAATCACATAAACATGGCTCTTGATTATTTAAAGAAAAAGAACAAATGGTATCAGGATGTTAAAATCAATACCAATTGGGAGGAAAATAGTGACCAAAATGATTTGCTACCTGATGAGACTACTGAATATGAAGACGAGGAAATGAAAGAAGGTGAGATTGATCAGACTTCAGAGGTTGTTACTGATACATGCTTACAGCCTGTGGATGTTGCGCAAGAAGTTCTCGATCATTACTTTGACGATATTTATAATATAGCACCAAGTGAAGGAAAAAATCCAATTCGAATGTTGCAAGAAGAAGGTAACAAAGCAAAGACTTTTCCACATTTATTTCCAAGTGGAAACTTTTCCTGGAATGAAAATCGAGATGTAAAGATAACTCTATCAAGATATTTTAACAACAGACTTATGAATGCAGATAACAGATTTGCTAAAGACACAAATTACATCTTCTTCTCTCAATACATGTCAGAATTAAACCAAGTAATTGAGAAAACACAAATTTCAATCCGAAAGTCTTTATCAAAGCTTGATACTGGAAAGGCAATGACATCTGAAATGTTACAGAATCCAGATGTTCTGTCTAATCTCCTTAAGAATAATGAGGCTTTACGCTTTATGCAACCTATTCGAGGAACTCCTGCGTATTGGTCAGCTACTCAGAAAGATCTTTTTGCAATGCTTCGACAGCTAGGTATTCCAACTTGGTTTTGTTCATTTTCGGCGGCTGAGTTCAGATGGGATGAAATTATTGGATCAATTTTGCATCATGATAATGATCCTAGATCCCCGTCTGATTTAGATTGGTCAGAAAAAAGTGAAATTTTGAGAAGCAATCCAGTTACTGTGGCAAGAATGTTTGAACATAGATTCCATATGTTTCAAAGGCATGTAATTTTATCACCATCAAAACCAATAGGGAATGTTATTGACTATTTTGTGAGAGTAGAATTTCAACAAAGGGGTTCTCCACACATGCACTGTTTGTACTGGGTTGAGAACCCACCGAAAATTGATGAAGACACTGAGGAAACTGTTTGTGATTTCATTGATAGATATATTACATGTGCTTTACCTTGTGAAAATGATGACGCAGAGCTTCGAAGAATTGTTCTAGGTGTTCAACAACACAGCAAAAGTCACTCAAAATCCTGTAGGAGAAAGGGAACAGACTGTAGATTCCACTTTCCAAGACCACCATCAGAAAGAACATTTATCACAAGGCAAAGTGAAAAAGATATTGAGGAGTTGGAGGATGGCAAAGGTTTGTCTAAATCTCAAGCAAAAGATATTTTGTTGCGTGTTTGGGATGAAGTTCTTGATGATATGAATGGATGCAAGACAACAGAGGAAATATTCTCCAATATACAGTTATCTGGGAGTCTTATGAAGAAGCACATAGGGTATTATCTGCAAAATCAACTACTATCTTGAAACGAAATCCAGATGAAATGTGGACAAACCAATATAACACATGTCTTCTCAAATGCTGGGATGCAAATATGGACATACAGTATATCTTTGATCCATTCAGCTGCATTGTATATATAATTTCATACATTTCAAAGTCAGAAAGGGAAATGGGAATGCTGCTGAAACAAACGCAAGTAGAATCTGCAGAAGGAAACTTAAGTGCACGTCAAACGATGAAGAGAATTGGATCAGCTTATCTCAATCATAGAGAAGTAAGTGCCCAAGAAGCAGTATACAGAATTTGCAATCTAAAAATGAAAGAGAGTTCAAGAAAAGTTGTTTTTGTTCCTATTGGTGAAAATCCAACTCGACTGAGTAAACCTCTTTCACAAATAAAAAGTGTACAAAATAGTGAAATTGATTTGGAAGATGATGACGACAGCATTTGGATGACAAATATAGTGGAAAGATATGAAAATCGTCCAGATCTACCTCCTTTCCCTGAAATGTGTCTTGCAGAATTTTGCTCCGAGTATCGTGTTCTTGCAAAATCTCAGATTCCCCAGGGAGAAAAAGAAGGTGTTTATGAACTAAAGAAAGGTCATGGTTACATTCAGAAAAGAACTAGAGCTAAGCCAGCTGTAGTAAGATATCCTAGATTTAACCCAGAAAATGCACCAGAAAAGTATTTTCAATCAATACTGCAACTTTTCCTTCCGTATTGGACTCAAGATCAGCTGAAACCACCTGGATTTGACTTTTATCAGACATTTTTTGAAAATGGGTTTGTGAGAATAGGAAGTGAAAACAGATTGCAATCTGTCAGAAATGTAGTTGAAAAAAATAGGGTTATATTCTCACAGAATGAGGATGCCCTTGAAAATGCCCAAGAAGCTTTAGAAATTTATGGCGAACCTGAAGATGCTTGGGCTAACCTGTGTCCAGAAACTGAAAAGAATCGTGAAGAATGCCTTAACAAAAAGAGACGAACAGAAAAATCAGAAAATAGAGAACCAGAAGTCACTCATGAAATTGAACATGAGAACTCTTCAGATATGATATATCATATTAGGGAAAATTCTACCTCAAGACAAGAAATCCTTCCTTTTTTGCGAAGTTTGAATGAAAAACAAAAGCAGGTTTTCTACTTGGTTCGTGAATGGTGTTTGAAAAAAGTCGCTGGGAAGAAAGTAGAACCATTACATATTTTTGTGACTGGAGGTGCAGGGACAGGAAAAAGCCATTTGATTAAAACTATACAGTATGAAGCCTCCAGACTTTTCGAGAAAACAATTTCGTCTCCTTCAGATTTGTCTGTTCTTCTGACAGCTTTTACAGGAACTGCAGCTTTTAATATTGGGGGAAGCACAATTCATCACGTTTTTTCCTTAACTAAAGCTCTACGCATTCCATATGAACCGCTGCAAGAACAAAGTTTAAGTGCAATGAGGTCAAGGTTAGCTTCTTTGCAGATTTTAATCATTGATGAAGTATCGATGGTTTACAAGCGACTTTTGTACTACATTCATGAACGCCTGGTGCAAATCAAAAAATGCAAGGAACCCTTTGGTGGTATTTCAGTCATAGCTGTTGGAGATTTTTACCAACTGCCTCCTGTGAAACAACGAAAGGTTGAAAATGTGTGCTGAAGAAAATGGTGAATATCCTGTAGATTACTGGTTAGACTTCTTCAAAATCGTTGAGTTGGAGGAAATTATGAGACAACGCGACGACGCTGCATTTGCTTCAGTTTTGAATTCACTGCGGATTCGAACACTAGAGGAACCACTATCGCAAGAGGCAATATCAATGTTAAAGAATGCATTAGGGAAGGACCAGATGAAGCACTCCATGTATATCCTATAAAATGAAGAAACAAATGAACATAATACTGAAAATGCTGCGATTAAATTGTGGAGAATTGATAGATACTGCTGAAGTATCAGAAAGACAATACTACAGGAAAGCTGACTCTACGTGAGAAACCTTTCATAAGGACAAGAACAGATGGGCTCTCTGCTTCTTTACTTTTTTCAGTAAATGCTAGAGTGATGTTGACGAGAAATATCAATGTTGAAGATGGACTTGTAAATGGTGCAATGGGGCATATTTCAGGTTTTGAGTATGGAGACTCTCAAATATCAACAAAAATATTAATTGTAATGTAAGATGTAACCTTTAAAAGCGATTACTTTGAAAATTGACTGGACAAACTGAAAAAATGCTTTGAATCAATCGGTATCTCAATACAGAAATATAATACTGCTAGAAACTCTCCATCCAGTCTTGCATGTGGGCGAAAATTCGATCTCTCCATTCTTAATCTGATTACAGACTGTCATCGTAAAATGGATTTTGTTTACTCTTGAGTTTAAATTTAATAAAATTTGTAACAATTATCCATTGATGAAAACCTTGTAAAGCATTTCCTCTGTATGTCCCGGTAAGAAATGTGATTACTATTCGTTTATTGTTGAAAGGAGACAGATTGCATATCCTTTTGTTCGAAAATTTAATACACCATAATCACATTAAAGTAAATATTGCCTCATTGTCTTAAATGAATAAAGAAAACTGGCTGAATTTCTACCGTAAGAGAAGTAAATATCATCAGTTGTAATCTAGTCTCTTGTTTTATCGTTTATGACATGAGATTCGTCGTTTTCCGTGAAACATATGCGTCATACTTTTTGTGAGGGGGATAATTGATTTCTTCGCCATCTTCGGAAATGAAAAATAAAGTTATCTTGGCCGCATTTTAGAAATTAAGAGCCATTCTCTGTAATGATTTGAAATTTTATATAGGAGCTGTGGCACGCATAGTCTCAGAATTTCTCCAAACTCTCTATGATAAAAGTCATTGATACCCTAAACTGAAATCAGGCAAAAACTGGTTTCTATGTTTTATAGTTACCACGGCAACATGTCTTAAAGTTCGAAAAATGGCATTTTTTATCACGTTTAGAGCCCCATAGTTAACATTTGCGGCAAAGCAAACAATTGGCAATGACTGTTTCCAAAAGTTTAAGGTCAGATGTCTCAAATGCATGATAAACATGTTTGGTAAATTAACTATTACATACGTTACTATGGTAACAAAGTATTCAAAAGTAAAAAAAAATATTTATTGAAATTTATAAAGTCATACACGTAAAAATAAAAAGCAATTATAGAATGAAATTGACCAAATAATAGAAAAAAGAGCCTTGAAACATATACCAAGAACAAAATATGATATTTCATTTTGGTTGGCAATGGTTGCCAAGGTTTTTATACCACAGACAGCCTTCAAAGTAACACTCTGTATGTTTAAATCTGATCCTATCTTTTAAAAAAGCACATTTCCTCATAACTAATGATCAATTTTTAAAGATGTTGGTGTGCTCCTAGTTTTCCCATTTGAAAAAATTCAGATTAGATTCTTTAAATAGAGCGTTGCTATGGAAATAAGCAGAAAAAATATCCTAAAAAACCTGAAAAATATTTTCTTTCCTTGGATACGTACCCTCAAATATAGATTCCCAAAACTTTTATGATTGATATTTATTAACAGCTAACCTGACTTTTAATTTTGACTATCATCCAATCTCCAAGTGGATGCAAGAAGTTGGCACACAGGGCTTAATACTGATATAAAGTTCACAAAATCGAACATTTTCCCTTCTTGGTAACCATAGCAACAGTGCTGTTTTCTTTATCAAATTTTATCAATATATGATATTCAACTTCAGTTCTAACAGATAAGTACTATTCAAGCTGAATCCTTTAATTTGTTTCTTGATTAAATGGCAATTTAATTCTTAATGCAGCGAAAAATAAATCACTTTTAAGCACTGGTTCTTTGTTTCCATGGTAACACTGCAAAGTAGCAATTATACTCAATTTTTCTTATGGTTTTGGTGTTGCAAGGTCCTAAGAATGCATTTTTGCCAGTCTTGAATTTTCATGTTTTTCCTCAAGACAGTAGCATTAACCCAATCTTAGTTACAGGTTTTGCATGGTAACACTGTGTTTCCATAGCAACCTTTAAAGTTATTTTTAGAATAATATTGCTTACACTTATGTACTTAAGGTCAAACATTTTCATTTTTTTTAAGTCGTTGATTGAGTTTGAGCATGTAACACCTACCATTTATTAATACGTAGTGTTTTTCAGCATATTTCAGCCTTTTAAATGTATTCCAAATGTACCCTTGGTTACCACTTACTTAGAGATATATTCTAAACAGTTGCTTTACAGTATAAGTGACAACAAGGTGTCATGTTTTTGTGAGAATGGTTTGTTTGCTTTTTCTAGTTTTTATTAAGCCACAGTCAAGATTTAAAGTGACTGAAAATCTCGATTTTTCAAACTTTTCCGGCTGTTGTCATAGCAACCGAGACACATAGCAACGAAATTTTGTTTGATATTTGTTTCTGATGTCAAGTACTCAGCATGGGTGAAGTTTCATCAAAATCCGTGACCATGCGTGGCAACGAAGTTCAAGTGGTTACAGAGAATGGCTATTAATACCTAACAAATTGAACAAACAGTGATCTAAAAAAATCTACATGTATAGCCAAGAGAGCATGTAACACGGACCCATGGAAATTCAGGAGGTGTGATCAGGTGACTAGCAGGAGTAAACATCCCCTGCTGACTTGTCACACGCGCCATGAGCCTATGTATTTATGAGATAGAAGGAACTTTCTGTAGTCAAATTTAGTATAAAAACAAAGGCCTAACAAAGGGTATTAATCAAGTCAGCCAAAATACGACCAAATACATGTATATTTGCTAACAACTTGATTTTTTTTATTAATAATATCGGCCATATGCATATAATGTGCGAAATGCAGAGTTTAAACGAGGTTAACTTATTTAAAAGATACCACGAGTCTGCAACATCTGTTTCATATTTAGATATTTTACTAGAAAAAGGCGTTTATGGTTATCAAACAATAAAGCTCTATGATAAACGTGATTACTTTAACTTTTTCATCATCAACTTTCCTTATTTATGCAGAAATATATCCTCGTC